ATAATCATGGGTATAGGAGCATTGAATAGCCAACTAGGTTTGAACCTAGGAATCCCAGCCATTCGACACAGCTACGTCATGGTGAAATCAATTGGTCAGCAGGGCCGTTACTTTCTGAGAGCCAAGGACGTAGATCATCACTTGGTGACCATGCTCGCCAACTCTGGCAAAAGGGTTAACGATTTCATGGTTTCCATCCGAGGCAATTGGGAATTCGGCGATGGAGAAGATCGCCAGGACCCAGTGTCGAGGCAGAAAGGCAAGTTAGGTGGCCAAATATAATTGTTATCATGTTTTTAAATAAACGAGTTACTCAGCTTAAATACTAGATGTTGATCATGATTTTTATGCTATGCAGGCAATGACTGAAAAAGAGCACTGACATCGGCGAACGAAGTCGTTCTTGAGCAAGTGAAGGTAGTCCTTAATTACAAAGGATGCGTAAATCTCCAAGGACAAGGGTGCGCCGCCCATGTGTTGCTGAGATACAACCTAATTTATTCCACTTTCTCGGCCGCAGATAATATCCCTGTGCCGAGAGGTAAACGGCAACTCACTGCACTAATATTTCCTAGTTACAAAAGTTTGAGGGATATTAGTGTTAAGGGTTCCAATGCCGGCGAACAAGTCGGCGAAGACGCACAATCAAAGGGCCATGCAGTGGACCAAGTACTTAACAAAAAAATCGAACAGCATTTGAGCACATCAGTCCTAACCATCACACCGATCATCCCTCCACCTCTGGCCGAGTATCTTTATCTGCTCCAGAGAATGACATCTTTAACGGTTTGGAGGATTTACCTGGGGTTGAATCCGCGGTCGAGGAGATGGGCAGAGAGTCTCTTGCTCAATTTAGTAGAAGATGAAATGTAGAGATGATGGCGCCTAAGAGAGAAGTCGGCGGTACTAGGGGAGCCAAGTAACTCCACCATGCGTGGTTCCTCCAAAGGAGATGGCCTGTGAAACGGTTGTGGCCAAATTGGCCCTTGCAGAGCGCCAGACTGAAGTCATGAGAGCTGATCAGATAGGGCAGAAATGACCTGCCGAGATCATTGTCGATTTATCTGAGGTGCCAGTTGATAAACGGCCAAGGATGGAGATGTTGTCCACAGATGAGTGTGGCTTCGGCGCTTTCTTTCCTAGTAGATAGCGTTACTTTCCGTGCCGAACCAGATGTTGTCTCGATTGCTTTGGCGGCTCCGTAGGCCATATTGGTAAGTTTAACAAGTAAAATAAAATTTCCTTTCTCACGCCGACTAACATGCCCTTGCTTCATTGCTTTTGTCAGGCGGTGGGAAGGATTACCGAAATCGGTCATCATCATTATGACGTCGTGGAGCGACTCAGCATCCTTGAAGGCTAGCTAGAAGAGGAGAAAGGCAAAGCCAAGCTGTTGTAGCCGATTTGGCTGTGGCAATAATAAAGGCCGAGTCTGAAGCAAGGAAGGTAGAAGAAGAGCAAGCGAGGGCTGCTACTGCACAGGAGAAAATGCAACATGTCGATCTGTTTTGTAGGGCCGTTGAAGAGAGGGCCAACTTGATAGATGGCTCCCTGAAGTCAGCTCAAGAAGAAATCTCAAAACTGAAGGCCGATCTTAAGGCAGAGAAAAAGGTGAGAGAGCTCACTGAGACAGATGCGGCCAAAGAATTTGATGCCAAAGAGCTCAAGGACAAGGAGTTGTACGCCGATGAAGCCTTGAAGTTCGAGAATCGGGGCTTCAAGCACGGATAGCTCAAAGCTTTAGCGACTACCAAGGTGACTCTCGATCAGCCGATTCCTTACGAGCAGTTGGAAGTCGAACCGCTGGAATCGGATCCAGAGGATTTGGACCTTTTGATCGGCCGATCCCATAATAGATATATTTACCTTTTGTTTTTGTTTTTGGTTGTTAGCTATTTATTTTGTTGATTCTGTTATACTGTTTAGTTTTTGTACTAGGGCCATTTTCATGTATAAAGTGACGAATGTACTCGTGCAGTTTATTAATGAAAATGCCCATTTTGCTAATGATTATATAGATGATTATACCTTACTTGGGTAGTGGAAATGTGCCACATCGCCACACCAAAAAAAAAGTTGAAAACAAGAAAAACATTGACAAGTCGAATAAATTTATAAACATTCATATTAATAAACATTGACAAGTCTTAATTCTGCAAAATGTTGAAAAGCCGAATAGATTAATAAACCTTCCCTTGCCCCAGTTAATCACTAAGTGCCACCGCCGGATACGAGAAAAACAAAGCAAGTTCATGGGGTCAAGTGGGGCACTCTCTGAATTCGGCAAAAATATTGAAAAATTGAATAGATTAATAAATCTGCCCTTGCCCCAGTTAACTACTGAGCGCCACCACCAGATACAATTAAAACAAAGCAAGTTCATGGGGCCAAGTGGGGCACTGTCTAAATTCAACAAAATATTGAAAAGCCGAATAGATTAATAAATCTGCCCTTACCCCAATTGACCACTAAGCGTCATTGCCGAATGCATAAAAAGCTGGCGATGACCGTGGGCGCTTCGTAGTCGTTGCATCTGCAATTAATAAATGGGGTAGCGAGGTTTATGTGGGGCTTGTGGCCTCTTTAAATAGACACTTTTCAGACCTAGCTGAGTGTGAAAGGTAAGATAGCACTCCGTTGGTCTGAGCAAGTTCGTATGTCTAGAAGATTGTTCTTCAACAATAGAGGCGAATGAAAGACATTAGCAAAATTGGACGTAGAAATGAATCGCGGAGCTGGTAGCGAACCCACTCGAACGAAAAATATGGCGTCGGAGAAGTGAGAGAGGCGTTGATCCCCCTGTCGTCGAAGCAGGTCCCCAAGAGGGAGCGAGGTAGAAAAATCGCCAAGGAGGGGGTGCAACAAAGAGGAAACTTAAGGGCTAGGAGTGCACACGCCTCAACATGAAACAAACCGAGCAGGCCACTACGCCCTCTAAGTTTTTCAGTGTTTATTAGGAACAAACCAATGACCAAGAAGAATTCAATTATCCATGATCCGAATGTGGCCGTGGAGTTTACTTGGCAAATTGTTTTGCCCGAAGTACAATAATCAATGATCGGACAGAATGATTATGAAATTTTCAGAAAAGGCGTCCATGGGGTGGTCAGAGGACTTTATAGCTCATATGAGATTGGCATGCGCCTTCGCGCTGCACAAAGAGAAATTGAATAAAAAGACGGGCGTATTCAGAACTTAGAGCACCGTGCAAAGAAGGCCGAGAGTGAGGTGAGAAGAGCCAGGACCGCTGAGATGTAGTCAGCGGGTGCAATGAACCCGGTTGTAATAGAGAAAGTAAACCAATGCTTGCTAGATCATTCCATCGCCGATCGGGATATGACAAGCATGTTCGCAAAGGAAGTGATAAGAGCACGAGCTTATGAAGAAGGCTTTTTTGACGGACAAAAAATAAGTATTGAGAAGACTAGGGAAAAGTTGGTGGATGATGTTTGCCGATGCAAGAACCGTGGCTTTAAGCACAGATGGTTTAAAGCCTTACAAGCCGCTCGCATCGACTTGGCGTCTCCGTTATACCAAAATTACAAGGTCCCCTTCGAGGCTTATGACGCCGAGAAGACTGAT